TGACTTGACTTGACTCATGACGATCAACTGTGACTTGACTTGACTCATGACGAACAACTGTGACTTGACTTGACTCATGACGATCAACTGTGACTTGACTTGACTTTTGATGATCAACTGTGACTTGACTTGACTTATGACGATCAACTGTGACTTGACTTGACTTATGACGATCAACTGTGACTTGACTTGACTTATGACGACGGAAGTTCATGGACCGGATTCGTGACAGCTTCTTTAAAAAGAATACATCAATTAGCAATAGATTATAAATTAGGTTGACCATACGTCCTCTTTTTCCCGGACATGTCCTCTTTTTGGACCTACAAAAATGCATCCGGCCGGGATTTTTTAATTGCCCAAAATGTCCGGGATTCGGCTGTTTTCTTAATCCCACTCCCGCTGAATTTTTCTGCAGCAAATCTGAGCACTTTTGTTTCAATCTATAAGAATAATCAGCCTATGTCATAGTTTAAAGTTAAATATATTAATATTAATAAGGTGAGTCAGAGAGTCTTATGTTTATTTGACGGTGATTTCATATTTCTTGTTTGTATGAAGGCTAAATACAAATAAAAGATGAACATTAATTTATTTGTGCCATTTTTATTTCAAAAATATTATATAATTTTATAGGAGGAGGTTTCATAGACTTGACAAATTAATTTTTCAGAAGTTTGTAGGTACAGACATCCATTATGGGCTTTCTTTGCAGTTTTTCTGAGGCTTTTTTTAATATTGTTCATTTTGATATCAGAATTATATTGTATCTACCGAAATTAAGAAATGTATCATGATTTAAATTTTGGCCATATCATCCAGCCCTAATTCAACTATATTATATTAACATTTACTTTCTTTAAATCCAATTCATTTGTATTCTCTACATTCTAATGCAGACATAATATATTTCTCCCCCCTCTTGTGATATGACATGGCAGGCCTAATTCAAAGGTCATCAGGGGTCAAATTTGGCCAGCAGGCCCTGTTTTGGGCATCTCTGCTTAACACAGTTATGTCTAGACATTAGACTGCATGAAGGCTGAGCATTATGACGATATATACAGAATGTTTGAATATGGCTCAAACAATAAGAATTCACTCACACTACACTAGGGTGACCATACGTCTTTTTTCCCCGGACATGTCCTCTTTTTGGACCTACAAAAATGCTTCCGGGCGGGGTTTCTTAATTGCCCAAAATGTCCGGGATTCGGCTGTTTTCTTAATCCCGCTCCCGCTGAATTTCTGACCATTGCCGCCTGCTCCCGAAACATGTGTTTCGCTCCCGCGATTTTCGTGTCCACTCCTTTAAACATTCTAATATTGTGTATAATTTTGGCGCATCAGGGAGCTGCTCTCAGGATGTGGTGTATTTAAATATTTTTGAATGAGCGTTCGCACTGTTTACTTTCACTTTCGCTTTCGCGATCACACGCACTCTGTGTAAAGGGAGCACATCTTACAAGATACTCAAGCATGGTCTTGTCAGTCATCTCTCCTTATTCTCGACCTGTGATCAGTCAAAGCTGACTCCGGTAGCTCTTGTTGGATGCAGGGTTGCCAAGTCCGCGTTTTTT